ATAAAATTGAAATTTTCATTAGTATCTGCAAACAGGACAACGCACTAGATTATCCAGTATATGGTGTTTGTGTGGTATATATTGTGCAATGTACGTAATGATTGATGATATGAACTCATTCTTTCGGCACTTTTCATTTCCGTCAAAAACAAATTGTTCGCAGAATAAAATTGTAAAAAGAGTCACTTGCAGACACGCCTCCAATACATGATTGGGCAGCATTTATCTGGGGAAGAGAACTACCAAAAACATCAATAAGTTGGATCAAGGGGCAAGCGACTTGTTCCAGTTTAAGTAAGGTTTTGAGTTCGAGATTTTGTGTACGTAGCAGCTTTCGTTGAGAGATCCACCCACTATTTTGGTGCGTTACAGTTAGTCAAGTCCGGAGTAGTCGGGTGAAGCCTCGGATACCGGACGAAAAAAAAAAAAAAAACTACCAAAAACATATCTAGTTTCATTGGTTTAATTTTAACTACTAGTGCTTGCGTTCCCTAAAAAATTGTTTACAGCACACTGTAAAGACGATTAACATGTATTTTATTAATCGAGTTAATTATAATTTTCGGGTGCAACATTCGTGAAATAGAAAGGAATGTAACTGATTATGTTGAGATCAACACAGTGAATAATACTATAAATGTACAGTAGACACCCGTACAATTAATTCAGAACTTGCCATACATTTTTTTTTTTAAATTTTTGTTACTGGTTTTATTAGCCAACCTGTCTACGCAAGCAATCTTGGATTAATTATTGTGTGTGCATAAAACATACGGAACTTTACGCATGAAAGAAGCTTGTATAACATGTAATTAATGGCACATTAAAAAAAAATGTAATTAGTTACAACAGCTGAGCTGGATTTTGCTATAAATCTTATGCCAATTTGGTTTTTGCCTCGCAATCGAGCAATTTAACATGCAAAATTAAATAACTAATATATGAAAATTCAAGCTGTATTTAACAAGCACTGGCTTGACGCATTACAGCATAGGGGCAACATATGCAGGAGCGTGTTAACAACGAAAATTTTTTTTTATATAAGGGTTATCAAGGTTATAAGGGTTATGTAACATTTTTTAATATAATTAACCAACAATAATTTGACATATCATTAAAAAAGTAAGGCTATGTTTTAATTATTTACATGATAATTTGAGAAAACTTACTTTAGCTTCGTTTGTTAGTATTGTTTTGTTTGTATTGTAATTGTAGGTTTTTTTCATCTTTTTTTTTATTAAAAAATATATAAAATATTAATTAAAATAAATTAAAAATAATAAATTTAGATTTTTAAATAAAGTACCATATGAATATAATTTGCACAAAATATTGTTAAACTAAAC